TTGTTTGTCTTTTTTTTATTACTTTTCTTTGTTTCTCTCTTTCTTTCTTTCGTCCTTTTCGTTCTTTTTTTGTGCCGCTTTTTTTGTTCTTTCGTTATTTCTTTCTTTCGTCTTTTTTATTTTTCTTTCCTTTTTTCTTTCTTTTTTTCTTCCTTCCTTTTCCTCCTTTCTGTCTTCTTTCCTTCCTTTTCTTTCTTTCATTCTTTATGTCATTCTTTCTTTCGAACGAGGGACGTTCTACAGAATGTCTCTTCGTAATTTGTAAATGCGTGCGTAGCACGTAAATGAGTGGAGTTTTGACATTTCTCTTGATGCCAATAAACAGTTCACCTGAACTATTTTTTTTTCAACAGAGGCGGAAATGTGTTCGCCTATTGACGTATGCAGTCTACCACGACCTGTCTATTTTCGGCATTGGTCTACGACTCTCATCTATCTATCTATCTATCTATCTATCTATCTATCTGCTTAACTCTTTTCCTAACTATCTACCTATTCCAGACAATTGATACCTATCTTCAAGTGTTTAGTATCATAAATAGAAAAGTGCTTATCATGTTAAGTAAATATATTAATTAATATACATATATATCTATCTATCTGATAAGTTACTGCGATTAAGTTTTGCATTTATTTTTAAATTTTTCTTGTGTTCGTATAATTTTTTTTTTCTGCACATAAATTATGTAAAATTTGGCCGAGTATTCTGTATGTCCTGCTATTCTTTTAGCCATTATTAAGGATGATTTTCATTTTTATTTTCAGCTGAATATAAGAATCTATTTTATGTATGTATCTAGAGTTATAGAAATGTATTATTTTTTTTTATTTTACAAACACGGTTAGCACACTGTGGCCGTGTTTGTAGTTGATGTTATTCAGTGATGACATTTTTTGTTATATTATTATTATAAATGATGCCATTATCCAGTTTTTGCATGTGGATGAGGCTATTATTGTTGCATTTTCTACAAGTATGTCGTGGATGGAATTTGGTAGATTTCCGTGTGTTTAAATGAATCTTAATTGAACTATATAAAGAGAGATGTAACGTGAGTCGTCTTGATAGACATGCAGTAATATACCCAATATTTATTCATGAATTTGATTTGATCAGTAATAAAAAAAAAATTATATAAAGACAAGGAAAATTAAAAAAAAAACTTAATCGCAGTACCTTGCCAGCTGGCATTAATGAAACTTTATATATATATATATATATATATATATATATATATATATAGATATAGATAGATAGATAGATAGATAGATAGATGTGTGTGTGTGTGTGTGTGTGTGTGTGTGTGTGTGTGTGTGTGTGTATAACCAAGATGATGGAAACAAAAAAGAAAAGAAATCTAGATGAAATTGGCAAGATTATATGCAAAGAAAAAAATATTTCTAAATCTAAACTCCCAGCGTCTCTCATTCGACCGTATGTGTAGTCACACCCAGTCCGAGGAAGTCTTAACGGGTGAAACGCGACATGATTCTTTTTCCAATTTGTCATGTATCTTTTCTTTCAAGATATCTGTCTATATATATATATATATATATATATATATATACCAATCTATCGCAATATTCATATCCCTATCACACTTCTGGATTATTTAAATAGAAGTATTCCTCCTAACAACACACTTATGTGAATATATATATATATATATATATATATATATATATATATATATATATATATATATATGTGTAGGTAGGCAGCAATCCTTCTTTCACTCAAGTTTCATTTAATATGATAGAAAAGGTGTTTTGATTGAAGTTTTTTCTCATGTCATCTTATAAGTCTTTTCTTTTCGGTAGACAAATTATATAAAACTGTCCAATTGTTGTTTTTTCTTCCGAGCGCTTTCGGCTATACATCTAGCCATTTTCAAAGTTGAAATATATTAACTGTTAACAAGAAATAGATTGTTGCATGCATGCATTTATATAATGTTTCATTTTCAAAACACGGTCACGCTACTGTGTCCATGTTCATAGTTGATATTATTGAGTGTTGTTTTTTGTTTTCATTAATAAGGCTTCCATTATTTTTAGCCGTTTTTTACATGTAGACGATGCTATTAAATTTGTGTTATCAACAAGTATGTTACGAATAGGGTCCAGTAGGTCACCATGTGTATTTAAATGAGACCTAATTGAGCTATGATCAGAAATATGTAGTATGAGTCTTCTTGTCAAACATGTTGTTGTGTGGCTTATATAATTGTTTACGAATTTTGATTGATCAGGAATACAAATCCTTAATGGGCATTTAAATTCGTAAATAATATTTGCCCAATTTAATTTTGTTCTAAGAAGTGAATTATTATTTTTAGCTTGGCGGTTTTAAATTTTTATATAATTTATCTATCGAAAAGAAAAATATTATAAGATCACAGGAGAAATTGTATAAATAACTTAATCAAAGCACCTTTGTCTGTCATATTCAATGAAACTTGCATATATATATATATATATATATATATATATATATATATATATATATATATATATAGAATTATGATTGCTGCTTGTGCTCAGTCCAGATAAAACAAACCACTTGAAAAAAAACACCCTCTCCTTCCACTTAAATGAAAGTTAGTTTTATTGTTCTTTACATTCCCGCCATTACAATCGACTGGCGTTTCCCGTTGGCCTTTAAAAAGCCACTCTTGATGTCGTAACTTTCACTGCCGATTGCAACGTGACATTTCCGCGATAAACTGCGCCCGAATGGCAATAATAATCTGGAAGAGTAAAGCACAAATCTTAAAGCAACAAAGAGCGACTAAATAGACGAGAAAGGAGGTTTGGCGACGGAAGCTTTTCCGAAGCAAATATCGAAAGTTAGTGAAACAATCAAGCGGCCTTCTCCTCATACTAAATAGCGATATTAAGTCAACTTCACCTCGCGCTTGTTAAGAAAACGCGTCAGACCCATCCAAAGTGACCGACTATTCAGTGTACTTATGCAAATTAGATGGGCGTGATTATACCCACACGAAATTCATCTTCCTATATGTTAATTTTGGGGCGGATGTGTTGGGGTTGGAGGCTATACTTTCTTCGTTCTTTTAAATTTATTTTTCACTTCTTTCATTGTCTTTCTTTATCCCGTTTTATTCATAATCTTTATTACTGACATATTTCCTTTTTTGTTGTTTGTTTTCATATCTTTTTTTTGTCGAGTTCGTTTCTTTAAATTGTTATCCATTCTTTCTTACCTTCTTTCTTTCCTTCTTTTTTCTTTCTTAACAATTTCTTTGTTACTTATTTTTTCCATTTTTCTTTACCTTTATTAATATACCTTCTTTCTTTCTTTCTTTCTTTCTTTCTTTCTTTCTTTCTTTCTTTCTTTCTTTCAAGAGTGTATTTTATCCTTTCTCTCTTTTTCATCGTTTTTACTTTATTAATATACTTTCTTTTTCTTTCTTACCTTCTTCCTTTCCTTTTTTCTTTCTTAACAATTTCTTTGTTACTTCTTTTTTCCATCTTCCTTTCCATTTATTAACATACCTTCTTTCTTTCTTTCTTTCTTTCTTTCTTTCAATAGATTTTTTGTTACATTCTCTCTTTTTCATCCTTCTTTTAATATACTTTCTTTGTTTTTCTTTCCTTTTTCCTTTCTTCCTTTCCTTCTTTCCTTCTTTCTTTCTTTCTTTCTTTCTTTCTTTCATTCAAGTGTCTTTTTGTTACTTTCATTTCTATTCCGTCCTTTTTATTTTGATATACTTTCTTTTTCTTTCTTTCTTTCTTTCTTTTTTTTCTTTCTTTCTTTCTTTCTTTCTTTTATGTGTCTTTTTGTTACTTTCTCTCTTTTTCATCCTTTTTAATTTATTAATATACTTCCTTTTTCTTTCTTTCCTTCTTCCTATCTTTCTTTTATCCTTTCTTTTTTAACAATTTCTTTGCTACTTCTTTTTCCATGTTCCTTTCCTCTTATTAACATACCTTCTTTCTTCCCTTCTTTCTTTCTTTCTTTCTTTCTTTCTTTCTTTCTTCCTTTCTTTCTTTCTTTCAAGTGTCTTTTTTGTTACTTTCTCTTTTTTTCGTCCTTTTTATTTTATTAATATACTTTCTTTTTCTTTCTTTTTACTTTCTTAATAATGTCTTTTTGTTACTTATTTCTATTCATCTTCCGTTTTCCTTTACTTTCTTTATTTCTTATGTTTTTTCGGACTTATTTCTTTACATTTTTCCTTTAGAATATTCTCTTTCTTTCTTTCATTCTTTATTTATTTATTTCTAAATTTTTCTTTCCTATTCTTTCTATTTCTTTCATTTCATTCTAAAATAGACTACTTTCTAATTATCGTCTGCTTTCAACATTTTATCTTTCCACGCAACAACACACAGAAATCGAATACTCCACCAAATACATGCATTTACTATTTCCGTTATCAAGTCTTAGAACTGAAATTATTCACATAGTCCTTGGAGTGATTAAGAAAAGAACTGAAAAACTCTGAACATGATACCTGGAAAACCTTCTTTGAAAGAAATCCAAAAAAATAATATTAACAGACACTGCCAACGTACTATGGAGATATCTGTTGGCATAGATACTATCAAGATGTTGGCTGATATTTTTTCTCAATAGGAATAGATAGGTCCGCCTATCGTCTCGTCTTTTGAACAGGAATAGAGTTTTATCCTTGTTTCCTGTTTAGGATTGGGTTTCCGGTTCCTTCTAAAGTCTTTTCTTTCTCTTTCACTTCCAGTAGCCTCTTACATCTTAATAGCATTATCGCTTTGCTTGGGGTGAATTGATTAATAATAATAATAATAATAATAATAATAATAATAATAATAATAAAAGCAAACCAAAATACGTCCCAGAATATAAAATTGATAAAATCTAGTGGCATTTTAAGATCCAGTTGGATCACCGACTCTAGGCCAGGAGCTCAGATCCAGTTATTAATCAACAAGTAAAAGAAAATCTCTGGGTTACTGTTACAACAAACTGTAGCGTAAAATGAAACGGCATCCCGTCCTCACAAGAATCTGAGAAAGAAGTGACTATTATTCACTAGAAAAGATTCGAAAATAAAGATCCCCGCTTGAAATGAAAAGTACTTGTGACGAGGAAAGAGAATTAAAGAAGGTGGGAGGTGAAAGAGGAAGAAGACGTGGGGAAAAAGAGAGAGGGACTGGGAGAGGCAGAGAGGCTGAGACGTACCTTCACAGAGGCAAGTGATGGCTTTTGAATGACGGTCACAGAAATGAGAGAAAAAATCTGAAGCTGGTGTGAGGGAGGAGAGGTCTGTGCGAGCGTGAAATCAGTTGTGTGTGTGTGTGTGTGTAGAGTAGGGGCTGCGTGGGCGGGCGGAGACTCTAAGAAGCAGGCTGAGTCGTAAGACAAAACATAAAAATCTTATTTAAAGAGAATGGTTGCTTGATGTAAACGCACAAGCTTTGAAGTGTGATCAAAGTAAAAATGATTTTAATGTAGCTTTTCAAGGATACTGAAATTCAGTTATCCCACCGTTACAACTGAATATTTCTACAAATATATCTTCTTCTTCGAATAATAATAATAATAATAATAATAACAAGTTTTAACCTGGGAAAATTTCACGGTTTTCCTAATTTAATATTAAGTTGAATTCTTAAGTTAATGAGTGAGTAAACTCATGGCGAGTTCCACGACAATAAAACATCTGTAAAAATTCCCCTATCGCATCGGTAAATATATGAGCTTAGAAATTGTAACAAAACATTGAAATAACAATTATAAATATGAATGCTGATCATTATTTTAAGAAGTGGGTACAAATAAAATGATTTCAAATTTGCAAAACTTTTCACATTACACTGAAACAACCGTTAAACACTACCCTTTTTTTTCATTCCTCACTGAAACCAAGAAGTGTCTCCCCCCCTCTCTCCACGCGATCAAAACGAATTACTCTATTATTTATAAGATATTAACAGAAGACGTATTGTAACGATCATGCGAACTAAGGAAAGGAGAGACAAGTACAATTATAAAAGGATTATTATTATTATTATTATTTTCTTTGATTTCTGGCGTTTACACATTTCTTTCCGGGTCCCGCCCAGGGACCTAAGTTTAGAAATGGCATTATGACACTTTCCACTGACAAAAAAAAAAAAAAAAAATTACATAGATAAAGCCCTCCGTAAGGTGTGGGCTGTACTTGTCAGAACAATTTTTTGTGTCTCCTTGAGGCATGGACTTCCAGGAATCCCTTCAATTAGTCTACTGCAATCTTTTCCAACCAGACCTAGGGCTCCATCTACAACAGGGATTGTTGATGTTCCCATATGCCACATTTTCGAGATTTCTATTTCAAGGTCCTTGTACTTTGACAGCTTTTTGAATATCTTCAAAAATACATTGCAGTCAGCAGGGACTGCCATATCAATAAGAAGGCACCTTTTTTGTTTGTGGTCTTTAATAACAATATTTGGGCGGTTGGCTTTGATTGTTCTGTCAGTGTGTATTGTGTCGTCCCATAGAATTGTAATGCACCCTTGTGCAAATTAATTGAAACAAAACGAATAATTCCGTTATTATTTTTCCCATATTTTTCCAATGAAACATGACCCAGTGCACAGGTTACTACTTCATATATCCATTCCATGAAGGCTTTCTTTGCATATTAACCACAGATTCTCGATTGGATTTAAATCAGGCGAGTTTCCGGGCCAGTCAATAGTACTTTGATTTGCTCACTGGTAAGGCATGCCCGTGTGTTTGTGCAGAGTTACAATTCTCGCACGCTTCATTGGAGTAACGTCCATCGCAAACACTGCGTTAGACATTTTCATGACGGTCGTCTTCGAGTATAGAATCCAGAGGTTGGCAGTGAATATTTCGGAGACAGTAGGAAAGCGTAGTGCAGGTTCGCAGTGGATATCACAGCAGAGTGTAGTTCTTCCTTCTGTCGTGTTCGCCTGACATGTTGGCTCTGGTCATTCCGATAGGATAAACAAAGATGGCCGCCTTTATACACGGCGGATACAGTGTTCTGCGGCTTCTGATTGCTTAATCTTCTATTGGTAGACTATAAAGGGAATTAAGTTTATTATTATTTTTGTTAATTTTGACTCGCTCACTAGTATTGTACATATATACACAAAAAACTGTAACACACTGGACGTAGGACAACTAATCGACAGTCGAGACAATAGAGTCGTGATGAAAATCTGATGCATTCACGGATGACGCAATATTTTTCAAGGCCAAACAAATTTCATCATACACCCCGGAAATAGATTCATATTACTGCACACCGCTGCAAATGATCTAATCTGAGGAAAAAATAGAAATCGATTACATCCTGTCACTCCAGTGGGTCTAAAACTGAGCGTATGGTGAAAGAAAGGAAACTAAAGCGACTATTTCAATTAATTTGCACAACGGTGAAGTAGCTGTTGCTGCCCATAAAACATATTCACACCAAATGTCTGGCTGTCATCGCTGAGACCGGAGTAAGAGCAAGCACACTCACCTCCCACCCCCGGCGCTATGCAGCTGATCATGATCATCACTTGACCTTGGGAGAGAACATTAGGGAGAGTTTTACTGAAGAATACCTGTCAGAAGCTAAGCAAAATATGTGAAAATTTCGTAACAAAGACAAGAGCTGTGTAATATCTATCCTCCTATAGGGCAGTGAATGACGGACATTGTCCTTACCGACAGAAGGCGACAGAAATGTGGTTATACAGGAGGATATTAGGAATGCCATTGACAGAACATGTGAGCAACGAAGAAGAGAAATATAAATTTGCAATCAGAAAACGATAGTTGAAATTTGTGCAACGCCTAATGAAGACAGAAGGCTTAGAGAATAGAACACTCACAAACAGGCGAGACTGGTGGAAATAGCGAGTAAACTATATGACGAGTGGCAGAAGGAGGACAAAAGACAAGAAGTAGTGGAGAGCCATGATCACTTAATGAGTTTTTGAGAATGTATAGCAGAAAAAACGACAAAAAAGGATGGTAAGTGGTCAGAGGTTACTTAAAACAAAGGCAGGAAGTAGTGGAAAGCCACGATCACCTACTTATAGATAGCAAAACAAGAACAAAGACCTAAACAAAGTATTAGGGAACAGACAAAATTATTACAAAAAAACCTGAACTGCTATGTAATATCAATCCTCCTATATGGTAGTGAATGTTGGATAATCTCCTCAGAGATGAAGGGGAGACTTGAGTCTGGAGAGATGTGGTTCTACAGAAGGATACTGGGCATACCATAGACGGAGCATGGAAATAATGAGCCAGTTTTAAGGAAAATGGAAGCGAACAGGACAATTATACTTAGAATCAGAAAGAGATAGTTGATATTTTCGGGGCCTATAATGAGGAAACGAGGCTTGGAGAAATTGACACTCAAAGGACAATACGGAAAACAAAAGAGATAAAGGAAAGCAGCGAGTAACCTTTCAAATGTGTAAATGGATGACAGAATAAGAATTTAGAGTTACAAATATGGCTTATCGCTTGGAACGATAGGAAGTTGTGGAGAGCCATGATCACCCACATCGTGAAAGAACAGGATATCGTTCTCGTCTTTTTCCTTCTCTACCATTTATCGTTTGTCTTTTAGGGTGTCAAACGACTTCCTGACCTCCTCCTCCTCCTTCTTTTCCTTCCTCCTCCTCCTCCTCCTGTTTTTATTCATCAGCTACTTCCTCCTCATCCCCTTTTTACTTGCTTTTCTCCTCCTCCTCCTTGTTCTTATTCTTCTTCTTCTTCTTCTTCTTCGTTCTCCTCCTACTTCCTCCTACTTCTTTTTATTCTTCCCCTACTCCTCCTTGTTGAATTTCGTCGTCCTCTTCCTCCTCCTCTTTCTTTTACTTCCTCCTTCTTCTTCTTTGCTTCTTTCTTCTACTTTCTCCTTTTTTTCTTCTACTTCCTTCTCCACCTTCTTATTCTTCTTCCTCCTCCTCTTTCTTCTACTTCCTCCTCCTTCTTCAACTTCCTCCTTCTTCTTCTTTCTCCTCCTCTACCTTAAGCCTCTTTTACTTCTTCCTCCTCTTTCTTCTTTTTCAACTTCCTCCTTCTACTACTTCCTCTTCCTCCTATTTTCTACTTCCTCTTCCCCCTCCTTCTACTTTTTACTTTTCGACCTCCCCCTCTCTTCTTCTTCTTCTTTCCATCTGTATAGTTAATATTTTTTCTCATTTCCTTTGGCCGCGTCTTCCTCCTCCCCTACATCAATGTAGAATAATTTGACACAATTATCCTTTTTCTAACTTTTTTATTATTATTTTTTAATCAATTTCCTATATTCCCCTTCATCTTTTATTCCACAACAGACAAAATCCTAGTATTCATCTCTGCCCTACCCAACCCCAATAACACCCAACCAACCGCACACCCCCCAAAACAGAAGAAAAAATAGCGTCACCCGCGTCAATAGTCGCCACAACTTCCTCTCCACGCTTTTTGCCCAATGGTCCAATACGTGCTTCCCAAGCCAGACCCACCTTTTTTACTCTGTGAACCTGTCTGCAAGAAACGGCAGGCGCTGGCCCATCAGTGTGGGAAATAACCCGTCATCTCCTTACACGTATATTACCCCCGGGGATACCCGTTTTGTTTTGTTTTTTTTTTTTTTAAAAAAAAAAAGACTGATACCAACCAAACTCATTTCCTACATCTGACAGAAATCTTGAAGTTCCCAAATGCTGGTAACGTACTAATCATGTAAGCATGAACACCACTGGTCGAGTTCGGTCTTTTAGTGCAAATTTCACTGAATCGTGGTTGAACTTATATATATATATATATATATATATATATATATGTATGTATGTATGTTGAAACTTGAATAAAGCATGGAATAATAATAATACAACACAAAATGTACTTAAACAAAATGTATTGACACAAGAACGTGTACACAATATTTACAGATAGTTTGGTATATTCTTGGGAAGACCATTCCTGTAGAATGGGTTGACTTAGTCGCAGTCGGGCAGAGTCTCTGGATTGCATCTCTTCTTCCTCCCCCCGTCTTCCCGGTACCAACCATATTTATATGGTCGGTACTCCAATATGTAAATTAGGTGGATCGTACCACAACAATGTATATATAAACAAGTTTCGTTATAGACTACTGACAAGGTGTTGCGTTTAAGCTTTTATTTCATTTTTCTTGTATTCGTAAGATTCTTTTCTGGACATAAAACATGTAAAAATTGTCCCAAAATGTTTTATATATCCGAGCGTGTTCGGCTATTCTATTAGCCGTTATCAAGGATCTTTTTATTTTATTTTTAATTCTAACTGAATGTATAGATTTTTATGTATATATCTAGAGTAATGAGAATTTTTTGTTTTTCCAAACACGGTCAGCATATTGTGGCCGTGTTCACAGTTGATAATCTCAAGTGTTTCCATTTGTTTTATTATCAAAATTTCAAATAATTATTAGTTTTTTTTAAACATGCGGATGAGGCTATGGCAGTTTTATTTTCTACGAGTGTAGTTAGGTAGGTTTTTATGTGTTTAAATAAGTCCTAATTAAACTATGCTCAGAAAGATAAAATATGAGTCTTTTTGATAAGCATATTTTACAGACAATTTTGCGCATTTTATGTCCAGATCACTATTGCAAATGCTCGCTCATGCATATTTGTGTTTGCTCAACACCGACATAGCGTACCTGTGGTTTATACGGCAACTATGCCGAGCAGACCTTAGTTACCGTTTCTGGGAAAGGGCGTGCTATCTAGAGTGATCAGCAATCTGATCAAGGCCAGCACGTTCAAACCCTCGGTCACGATGACTTGTAACTTTGGGCTAGCACCGCTATCGAAGTCTTGGGTCAATCCCTGGTATGGTTTTCAGGCATTTTTTTTTGAGTGTCGCAGGCTGGGATCGCCCAGACCGATAGTATCCTGACAAATCGCCGATGGTGAGATTCGAGCCCTGGTCTCATGGTTAGAAAACGAACTCTCTAACCACACACGGGCACTAACTCTCTCTCTCTCTCTCTCTCTCTCTATATATATATATATATATATATATATATATATATATAATAAATATATATATATATATATATATAAATATATATATAAATAAATATACATATATATATTAAATATATATATAATAATAAATATATATATATATATAATAATATATATATAATAAATATATATACATATATAATATATATATATAATAAATATACATATATATATTAAATATATATATAGTAATAAATATATATATATATATATATATTATAATTTTTTCATATAGACAAAAACAATTTACTCACATGCGGCTTGCATACAAACAGAATTGTTCATAAACATTTTGGTTCTCACCAGTCGAAGTCCAATTAAATGCACTGAAACGAAGTTGCATCTTTGTAGTGAGTAAATTCTTTTTGTCTAAATCAAAAACTTATAATAAATAATTATTGCACTAATACTCTTTAGAATTAACGCTATAAATGTTAGTATTTATATATTATTTTGTTCTCATTACATTCGATATATATATATATATATATATATATATATATATATATATATAAAAAGTCGAACAAAGTCAGAACAATTATAGTTTCATGCTAGATTCAATCGTCAGGCCTGACGATTGCATATAGCATGAAACAGACTGTCGTCCCTAAGTGTTGACTTCTATATTCACTTTATATTTACACACGCTCTATCTCTGATATTGGGCACTTTATCCCATAAATATAGCATAAGACTATATTTCTTCATATATATATATATATATATATATATATATATATATAAGACGTTTCGCAAAGCGAAGAATCAAACAGAGATCGGATTTTTTTTGCTCATAAGACCATATACACCAGAATTCACACGACTGTCGGTGAGTCTTCACCATTTCTCTTTTTATTTCTCGCGTCGCTGATGAAGGACTCAGGCGTGCCCGAAAGTTCCGGACTGAAAACCTTAGTTTTCGTGCACCATGTCTGTCATATGATTAATAATTAATATTGAATAAATGTTTTTCGTACTGATCACATTGATACCCTTTCATTTGTCCTTGATATATTAACCAACCTATCTATTTTGCATATATATATATATATATATATATATATATATATATTATTTATTTTAAAAATATGATTCTTTCACTATATAAGAGTTCTCATGTTTCAAAACAAGAGCCGACAACTTCAATATAATTATTTTAATTATTAAAGTACCAAGCTCTGTTCCATCTTCAAACAAAAAAATTCGCTTGAAGATGGAACAGAGCTAGAATTAATTTGATTCAAATAATAATGTTGTTTTTCGGCTCTTGTTTTGAAACATGAGAACTCTTATGTAGCGATGGAATCATATTTTTAAATAAATAATTATATTTAGGCTCTACTTTTGTATCGAGCACTGTTTTTTTTATAATAATAACAAAAATACTAAAGAACTTTGGATTATTTACCTAACGAGTGTGAGTTTCCTATTTTCTATATATTTTCACACACACACACACACACACACACACATATATATATATATATACATGTGTGTATGTGTGTGTGTGTGTGTGTGTGTGTGTGTGTGTGTACTAATCTTGATAGAATATGTGTATGTATGTTTTACTATGATTCCTTACTTGATGTTAAGTCAGTAGAATGCTTTTATTGTTTGGAAATTACGTGTTGCACCGAACGAGCAACTGATATCTCAGAATCTAAAATTGAGAAATTAGCAAGTTGAGGGTGATTTCTGAATTGTTTTATTCTTTCTTTCTGTCTATGGTAAATCAGGACATTAGATCGCTGTAAAAATAAATATATCAGTTATGACATTTTTGAACTAGTTTGAATATCATATTCAAAAGTGCAGCATGACATTCTAGGCAAACTTTGTACAAGTCAGTGTCGAGATAAACATGCCTAGTGAACGTGTGTATATGTGATATTTGCATGGGTGTGTATACAGTATATGACAGAGCAAGATCTTACCTTCAAATATTACCCCATATTAACTTAACTAAAATTTAAGTAAAAGAGATTACCTATCTAGAAACAGTCACGAGTTAAATTCATGAACAAAATTCAAACGGAGAGAGATGTCAACTTAATAATCAATAATAAAAAAATTTTAAAGAGATTAAAAAAAGATTACTAGAAGTAAACTTATATTTTAAAATAAAATTTTATTCTTTTAATGACAGTTTAGAGACATTCAAATTTATATCAAGCATTATAATCTTTATGAACCCCCAAAATAACACTTTCAAAGTAAAACAAAATGACAGCGTCTGTTTCTAGCCTTTTTTTTTTTTTTCAAAAGAAAATTAGTGACACTTTCTCTCATAACTTCCTTCTCTCTTTTTCTCTCTATGGGTTTTTTTCTTCTCTACCCCTTCGATATCAATATATAACTTTCGTTAAGTTAACCGTTTAAATGTGTCAATATCTGCTAACTCACTCATGTCTTCTCTCTCCCCCCCTCTCACTTCGTTAATTTACATATGTTTAATACGGCCCGTCAAAAATATGTAAATTTTCTTTTCATTTTTTGTTTGGAAGTAAAGTCTGATGATCCGCAATCCTTTTAAAAGGGGTGTGGTGAAATAATTTATTACATGAAACCTTAAAGTGGTCTGTTTTTATTTAAATTATTTGCTCTGGATTTACATTGAGCTCTCTGGATTTGATCCTCCTTGGGTCTCCCCATACGGATTACCTAGTTTTTCATAAACTATATTGCGTATATTTTGGCAGCATGTTTTTATTACGACATGTTTCATTGTATAAATTAGACAAGTTTTGTCTACTGATTTCCAATTGGATCCTTTTATACTTAGCGTAAAGCTTTTTTGCGCCATTATTAAAGCAAGTGATATAATCCCCGCGTTGATATATGTTATTTTATTCCTAGTACTTTCGACATAGCACGGTGTCATCATCAGGGTATCTTTTTTTCAATACAAATATTGTACTGTTCATCATTTTCAAAGACAAAATTGCTGTGAAATATTAAGGTAAAGAATACTTGTAAGGTAAAGAACACGTGATCGCTTCATACCACTTCAGGGGAGGTAACTAAGTATGGCGTGTCGAGAGATTTATGAAATAAGTATTAAAGCTATTAGTGCCAAATTTAATATTTTAAACTATCTGTCTATATTTCTGAGATGAGGTATTATGTACATTATTTACATTATTCGGACTATTGTCCTCATCTTTGTCGCCATATTTAGAGAAAACAATGATAACAACAAAGTTGCAATATGAGCTCTGGTAAAAATATGGAATGATAACAGCAAAAATTGCAATATGAGTACTGGTAAAATGATCGCTGAAGATATTAGGTTTATAATACCCAGACATTCATACACAAGGACACATGGCACAGTGGATAAAGGCGTTAGTTAGATCCAGTGACAGGACCCAAAGAGTGTGAGTTCAATACCTGGTTAAGGCGATGGAGAACTTGGAGAGGGGAATTAACAGAAGATAACTGATAACTGACATCCATCAAACATGGCACGTGGAACTAGAACAGTCTACCCCAGTGAGCGAAATTCCAACCACCTGAAGAATGCCGGAGTGTACAACGACCGAAACGTTGTAATAAATATGGCGGCAATGATGAGGACAATAGTTCGAATAATGTAAATAATTTAACTATCTATTGTACACATTTTAGTTTATTTAATTTTATTCAGGGTTGATTTCAATTTTTTTTATATAGATAGCTTCGAGAATTTTTAGTTATGTTTATTATTTTCGTGAAAAAGTACAGATGTATTTTCAACAAGAATTTTTATTTTTGTATGTCATTTTAAAGCTGTGTGTATTAAACTATTGACCTGCGCACTTGTGCAAACTTCCTTTCCTTATGAAGTTTTCCCCGGGTGGGCAGGCCAATAGACAATGTTTAAAATCATGCAGTAATTTCAAACACAAGTATCCACCAAAAATAATGTACACACAGCAGACACACACACACACACATATATATATATATATATATATATATATATATATATATATATATATATATATATAGAGAGAGAGAGAGAGAGATAGATAGATAGATAGATAGATAGATAGATAGATAGATAGATATTAATAGACTGAGACAGATAGATATTAATAGACTGAGATAGATAGATAGATAGATAGATAGATAGATAGATAGATAGATAGATAGATGTAACCTGAAATAGATAGATAGATTGGTAGATAGATGTGACCCGAAATAGACAGATAGACAGATAGATGTGACCCGAAATAGATAGATAGATAGATAGATAGATAGATAGATAGATAGATAGATATGAGCCTACAGAGATAGATAGATAGATATAGAAAGAGAGAGAGCGATATGAGTATACTGAGATAGATAGATAGATAGATAGATAGATAGATAGATAGATAGATAGATATGAACACACTGTCATAGATAGATAGATAGATAGGTATGAACAGACTGAGATAGATGTGAACAGACTGAGATAGATAGATAGATAGATACATAGATAGATAGATAGATATGAACAATGATAGATAGATAGATAGATAGAATAGATAGATAGATAGATAGATGAATGGATGATAGATAGATATGAACAGACTGAGATATATATGAACAGACTGCGATGGATAGATAGATAGATAGATGGTAGATATGAGCATACTGAGATAGATAGATAGATAGATAGATAGATAGATGGATGGATGATAGATGAGATAGATATGAGCATACTTAGATAGATAGATAGATAGATAGATAGATAGATATGAACAGACTGCGATCGATAGATAGATAGATATGAACAGACTGCGATAGATAGATAGATAGATAGATAGATAGATAGATAGATAGATAGATAGATAGATAGATAGATAGAAGAGAACGTGTAATCCTGGCCAAACATGATTTGTTTAGACCTGCTCACGTTCACACTGTGTGTTAGTGGCGGTCAAATTACACAAAAGTTCGGACAATGTTCGACCATCCAGTCGTCACGTATACAGCTGTATGGTTGCGGGGACGAGGAACAGGGGAGTCCTTGACTTAGTGTTTAAAACAAAGTGAACACGACAGAAATGAGTCGGAAGCATGGGGGATGGAGGAACAACAAAAAAGAAAAAAAAACGAAGATATAGTGAAAAGATTATTGAAGGTCAAGTGTAGTGTTGGTTATGAGAAGTGGGTCAACGGAAATCGAATTCAAGGATTTATTAACGGAGCTGAAACGTGAGACGAGGTGAAGCTGAAGACATTTCATTGATCACCTCTTGCTCTAAAGAAACTCTCGTTGCTTCGATATTACCTAAATTTTGATTTGACCTAAAATATGACGCTTTCGTTAAAGTTGTCACGCATGTATAACGCTATCCTGGTTTGGTAGAGCCCAAAATGGCGAATCACTGTTTCACGTAATTACAAAACACCGTTTTCCGTGTAGTTAACGCTGCCATCAAGTCAAGTTTTGTTGGTCTCTCGCTTAACTGCTCCCCACACATAATAATCAAGGGGGTTGCAATCTGTGGAGTTAGGTGGCCAGATGTAAGGGATGATGTGGTCTTAGAAATTGACTGGGTTCTCCTGCTTGTGTGGTATGGTGCAGAATCCTGTTGCCAGACCGGTAGCCACCCTCTTGACACAGAGCAACAGTACCTCCTCAAGTCACTTGATGTAGGCTTCTGTGTTTAGCCTGAGACCCTGTGGGAAGATGAATGGAAGCATTAAGTCACCATCGCTACTAATCACTTCAAACAGCATGATGTTGACTGGATATTTGGTTTTCGTCACTCTCGTTGCATCTTTTGGGGACACAGCATCCACTGCATTGTCCTGAGATTGACACCCTAACACTCTGAAATGTTCGTATTAGAGTTTTACGTACGAATGCCAAGCAGTACAGCATGCCGTTTCCAAACTTCTATCGGAATAAATTGGATCAAGGTGCTCTTTTTCTCACACTTCAAAATGTCTCAGTTATCTCCCTTTATCTGAACTCTCCTAATTTTTTTCCTTGTTGTCCACATCATTAACTAGGTATTGAACTCAAAACTTTTTGAGTCAAGTCACTGGCTCCAACCAACGCTTTTATCCAGTGGGCTAAGTGGACAAAATAAGGGGTTCAGTTCGAAATCCCAATCACCTTAAGAAGGCCGGAGCGTACAACGATCGAAACGCCATAAATATAGCAATAAAGATGAAGACAAAAGTCCGAACAATATAAATAATATATCAAGAAGTTGTGGGAAAAAAATATGGAAACTGGTTTGAAAAATGGCGATATATATTAGTGATATTATCTCGTCTAAAAAAAGTTTCTAAAATATTGCCTTTTTTTGTCTGAAAAAGTGAAAATTTGCATCTATTAGAAAAGTCAACAACCTATGATAAAAATAAAGGTCGTTCACTGCGCGCTTCAATCAAACTGGATTTCGTTTATTTGCAACCAGGGTTTTATCTTTTCTTTCTTTTTTGATAGAGGGGAAAATTCTTGAGCGATAAAGAGCGTTAAGCAACCGATATATATTCGCTAAAAGTTTAAGATACTTTTCTAAACCAAGAAAATCATTTATATATCGCCTTGTTAACACCATTGTGGATTCTTGTCGACAATCAATGTCTTTTCGTTTCTAGGACATACTTAAAACCAAAACCGGAACTCAAGGTTTCCGCAAGAAATGCTGATAAAAATAAACTATCAGAATTGTATGAGTGATGTCTTGTTTCAACTCTCTATCCACTGAATTAAAAGGCCCCCCCAACCATCTGTTGTGAGTATCTATTATCGAAATAAACTGTAACAACAGCAGTTTACTTGATTTCATGATGAGAACATGTTTCATACTTAGAATATTGCTGCCGCATATGGTCCGGACACCTTGCTATTTACCTCGAGTTCCTTGATAAGATTGAAAGAAGAATCAGCAATATCATTGGTCCTAATCTGGCGACTCGGCTGCAGTGACTTGTCCACCGACTTAATGTTGCCTCCTCTCCCTGCCTTTTTTTTATAAATACTTATATGGTAATTGTTCGGATGAGTTCTTCGCTGTGCGACCTAGATTTTTTTTTAATTTAAACGCAATACCAGATTGGTCGCATGATCTCATCAATTTACAGTTAATTTGGTTAAATGTAACCGTTAGTTCTGTGCAAAGTGTTTATTTTCTCGCACTTCTTGCTTGTGGAACTCCCTTTCAGCTCCATGCTTTCCAGCCAACTTTAATCTGCAGAACATTAAATGCAATGCCAATCGCTATTTACTGTCCTCCTGATTACTCTTTTCTCTTTCTGTTCATCATTAATGTTTCTGTTACTAATTCTTCCACAAGCAATAACCCTTTTATGTTTTAGTGGCATTACTGCCTTACTGTGGTGATACCAATATGCTTACTTCCAAATTTGCATATTGTAAATCCTTTGTTAGTTTTTGAGCGGAATATTTTAAATCTACCGACATTAGGATCTGTCACTGGAGGTTTTCGATTTGGTTTCAAACCGCAGTTTATTGAAGTAGAATATATTGTTTGTTTTTTTTTTTTGTTTGTTTTTTAACATTTCTTTCTAAGCAAGGCAATAAAGCCACTAAGATGCAAGGGGAGTTACTGAGTGAAGAAGTCTGAGAAAAAAAAAACATTATTAAAATTTTAAAAATTAAATAGAGCTTTAAATTTTCTTACACAGGGATAACCTTTTTTTTTTATAATACCATGTTCCTTTAAAATATAGGCGAGTAAGACTGTACAGTATCCTGTGAATTGCCAAGCTAGTAAATTAGTCTACCATACAATTTGCAACATAGTCGGAGGAGAAAAGACTAATTTATGCCTTTCCGAAAGTGAATGCGACTGATTAGTCCCAAAATACGTCTCTCTGATTCCCACTTCTATTTATATCTGTAATGCTCAAAATGTGTATATATACATATATATATATATATATATATATATATATATATATATATATATATATATATATATATATGTGGTGTGTGTGTGTGTGTGTGTGTGTGTGTGTGTGTGTGTGTGTGTGTGCGCGCTTTCAGGTTGTTTTTTTCACAGTTTTCATCCAAATTTCGATGAATTTTTTTGGTTGATAGATAATTCTTCAGTGCCGGTTTTGAATACAAATTGGCTGGACGAAATTACAATCTTGAATGTAAAAAATCTCAAAAAAAAAACTGATTTTTTACACTTTGCGCAAAATCAAAGACAAAATTTAATGTTTGTAAAAACAGCGTACAATCAATTTAGAGTGCTGAAATCTAACACAAAAGATTATTAGAATTATAAAATATATATATATATATATATATATATATATATATTATAAATAAAAATGATCATATATTATTATTATGACAATCAATGGAAGAGGTTCCTTCCTTGTAAGATTGAGAACGCAAAAACGGTCCTTTTCAGGACGACCCACCATTCAAATTGTTACCCCCCCCCGCCAATATTGGGATGTGCCTCAGTTGCACCCATATGTTGTTACTAATATTGATTTTTGAGTGGGCTGACTTTAAACTTAAACTGCTCCAATTGAACGGCAAAAATTCTCAGTAATGAAAGACCCGGTCGAAGGCGGGTTATACTGCTAGTCGGCAATATATTTACAATATACTAACATATCTTAGGGATGAACCTATTTGATAATAATAAAATAGTTTCTGTCTATATTTCTGAGATGAGATATTATGTACACTATTCACATTACTCGGACTATCATCCTCATCTTTGTTGCCATATATATCACAACGTTTCGGCCATTGAACGCTCCGGCCTTCTTCAGGTAGTTGGAATATCGAACTGAACCCTTTATTTCGCTCGCTGGGGTAGACTATTCTACTTCCACGTGCCATGTCTAATGGATATGAATTATCAGTTATCTCCTGTTAATTTCCCTCTCCTTGATTTGAAATGGATGAAATCATTGCAACACTGATTATTTTATTTTAAAAGGAAACTCGTCCGCTGATTGGTGCTTATCAGCCGAGAACAAAAGATAAAAAAAAACAAAGAGGAATATATTTTATCATTAAAAAGCGAGTGAAGAAGGAGCTTGAATAAATTGGCAGAAAGATAATTTGCTTACATTTCCAAAGGAACTAGTTGAACATATATTAGTTGAACAACGCTGGAATAAGTTGGGCCATTGACGGAGAATGCGTCTACAAACTGTGGACGAATCAGAACGAATAAGGTCAACGGCATTAATCGTGAGAAATAACGATTTTGCTCGGAAAACTTCCTTGTGCGCGACCTTAGGCGAAACATTCCAAGCAATTATAAAATGGAATGACCTTGTTTTAGCAAAAAGTCGAAGGTGATGAATAACGTTCATAAGCATGTCTCTCACACACAAGCGCACATACACACACATATATACAAAGACTAAAACATACACATACACAAACACACGCGCATACACACAAACAAACGTTAAGTTTTCAAAATATATTTGCTTATATTGGCATGAAAGACATTGCCTATGAAATCTTTTCAGCGAAATCCTTTTCGTCATAGATTCTCGAAATTTCATACCGGAATATTCCAGAAATCTTAAGCATGTCGATTTAAGGACGGTTTCTCCTTTCCAAGGAGGACAAAGTTTCAGAGGACACATATATCTCATTAAGATTTCTCGAATATTCAGGCCGGTGGTCTAAATCTACCATTTAATAAATTATCGGAGGTTTTTGTAGCGCCCCACATAACACTTTAAACGTTATTTCATTAGTAGTAGTAGTAGCAATAGTATATATATATATATATATATATATATATATATATATATATATATATATATAATTAAATATAACAGACAATGAATGCCTATATGCCTGATCATGAGCCGTTCGTATGTTTGCTTTAATCTCTGGGGAAAATAAAGACAAAAAATGTCCAA